CTTCTTGTCTCTGGGGCTCCTTCCTCTCCTCCATATTTCTCTACTCGACCCCGACAGGACCAGGACCAGGACCAAATGGCTGCTTCTCAGGTAAAAGATGTGTCCTATGTCATAGGCTATTTTTGCTTTTTCTCCAATATCTGTTGATACAGTTCTTGTTCCCTCCCCACACCTGTGTCCTCTCTCCTTCCCCTGTTATAATCTGTCCTGTTACCCACAGCTGGCTGACACAGTGCTGTTTCTTTCTCTGCTCCGTCATCCCAAAACCCTCTTTCTGTCCCTGCACTCAATCCCTCAATTCTTCTCCTTGAACCAGTCTCTCTGTCTGAAGTGCCTCCCCCTTTGTTGCCCACACTTCTGTTCACCAGGACCCCTCTCCCTCTCAACTCCCCTTCTTGTCTCTGGGGCTCCTTCCTCTCCTCCATATTTCTCTACTTCTGATGTTCTTGCCTTTCCAGGTTGTTTTTCTTTCCTTATTTCTTTCCTTTTTTCTTATTATAGTCAGTGTCAGTAGTTTCTATATTTCCCTGTCTCTCTTTTTTTTGTTTTTAAATATATTTTATTGATTTTAGAGAGGAAGGGAGAGGGAGAGAGAGATAGAAACATCAATGATGAGAGAGTATCATTGATTGGCTGTCTCCTGCACATCCCGAACTGGGGATTGAGTCCGAAACACAGGTATGTGCCCCTGACTGGAATCAAACCCGGGACCCCTCAGTCCGCAGGCTGACGCTCTATCCATTGAGCCAAACCAGCTAAGGCCCTGTCTCTTTTTTAATACATGCTTTTATTGATTTAAGAATGGGAGGGAGAAGGAGAGAGAGGTAGAAACATCAATGAGCAGAGAGAATCATTGATCAGCTGACTGCTGCATAATGCCCACTGGGGATCGAGTCTAAAATCTGAAGTGTGCCCTGACCAGGAATGGAAACCTGCCCTCCTGGTTCATAGATCTACGCTTTACCTCCAAGCCACCCTGGCCGTGCTATACTTCTCTCCGTTATTTCAGAGTCTTCTCTGCATTCATTTTTTTAAATATATATATTTTTTATTGATTTCAGAGAAGAAAGGGAAAGTACAGAGAAATAGAAACATCAATGATGAGAGAGAATCATTGATTGGCTGCCTCTTGCAAGTCCCTCACTGGGGATTGAGCCTGCAAACCAAATATATGTCCTTGACCGGAATCGAACCTGGGACCCTTCAGTCTGCAGGCCAACGCTCTATCCACTGAGCAAAACTGGCCAGGGCTCTCTGCATTCATTTTATGCAGCCTCTCCAAGGTCAGGAAGCATTCCTACCTTTAATTAATGACTTTCAAGTACTCAGAACATCCCTTTTGTGACAAATCAACCTGGGAAGGCAGCCATGTCTAACATCCCTATTGGGATGGGGTCAGAGGCTCTTGTGTCTTGAAGAAGGGAAATATAAGTTTTAGATTCAAGTGGCTACAGCATCAGCTCTTGATCAGGGGTAAGAAAATGCACATTTGAACATCAACCTATGAACCAAGAGGTCACAGTTCGATTCCCTGTCAAGGCATATGCCCAGGCTGTAGGCTCCGTCCTCAGTGGGAGACATGCAGAAGGCAGCCGATCAATGATTCTCTCTCATCATTGATGTTTCTATCTCTCTCCTCCTCGCCCTTCTTCTCTGAAATCAATAAAAACATATTTTTAAAGTATTTTAATAAAAGAAAAGCAGCAGGGTTACTGTCTGCCAGGAAGAGACAACTTGAAATGCAGACATCCTCTTAAAGGGCCAATGCACAACATTTCGTATGCAGCCATTCACCTTGGGTTCCAGCAGAAGGAAGGCAGAGTGGACTAGAGCTGTGTGAGCAGAAGTCAGCGTTGGGGGCTCTGGGGTTAGAACTCAGAAGGCAGACACCCTGCTTGCCTGTACTAAGTCGTTCCTTCATGCTGAGGAGGTCATCTTTCTCAGGCAGACCTTTGCTATTCAGGCAGTTTTTGCCTGGGGGCTGGGGTGGGCGGACAGTTGACTCACCCTTACTCCTTACTCCACCCTGTTGAGATTCTGAGACCCATTTCTGAGAATAACAATTAGTCTCCAGGTAGAAGCAATTGCCCCACCCTTTTGGAAAACCTCTCATCCCACCTGTGGACCATTGCCTGAGGCTACTCAAGACTAAAAAAAAAAGAAAAAAGAAAGAAAGAAAATGCACATTTGCCGTAACCAGTTTGGCTCAGTGGATAGAGCGTTGGCCTGCAGACTGAGGGGTCCCAGGTTCGATTCCAGTCATGGGCATGTACATTGGTTGCCGGCACATCCCCAGTGGGGGGTGTGCAGGAGGCGGCTGATCGATGTTTCTCTCTCATCGATGTTTCTAACTATCTCTCTCCCTTCCTCTCTGTAAAAAGTCAATAAAATATATATTTAAAAAAAAAAAAGAAAATGCACATTTTACTGCTCAAAATAGCTCAGAAAGTTCTGAAAGATGAGTAAATAGTAAATAGAAGAGAGTTGCTCACTAGATTAGTACGAAAGACTTAATAGGTAAATATTCCATTAGCTTACAGAACATGAGAGGTACACATGGATTGACACTTGCAAAATTTAGTGTTTATTTGTGATCATTTCCAAATAATTCATTATTGATGTATTTTTGGCAGTAATGTCACAGCAGTGACATTACCGTTCGTGTGACTCAGTCACCTGATGTCCATTGTTCAGTCCACATGATATGTTTATTTCCAAATAATTCATTATTGATGTATTTTTGGCAGTAATGTCATAGTGGTGACGTGACCTTTCGTGTGCCTCAGTCACCTGATGTCCATTGTTCAGTCCACATGATGTTCACATGGCGGAGGTACTCCTCTCACTGTAGAGTTAATAGTCTCCCTTTCTGCCGAAACCGGTTTGGCTCAGTGGATAGAGATAGTCTCCCTTTCTCAGGAAGATGGGTGTAGTAGGGATTGAATGAAAGTTGTGCAAAGACCATCACTTCACATCTGGAAATGTCTCTCCTTAGTTTGCGTTTGCTTTGGAAAATGAAGGACTTACTTTTTTTTCCTACAGATCATTGGCTTTTTCATAGGAGCTATAAACAATCAGGCCTTGATTCTTTACATTTTCATTATATTCTATACTCCCATCATGGATATACCCTATATGATCACTTTTTGTATTTTCTAGGAAGTTTCCAAGAATGACATTATTAACATGTTTAATTTCATTACTAGTAAATTTCTACGAAATAGCTCTCCACTAATGATACATAAAAATTTTGAAAGAATTGTACTGATAAGAAACATTAGTTCCCCCGGGCTGGTGTGGATCAGTGGTGGAGGGTTCGATTGCTGGTTCAGGGCAAGTAGTTGCTGGGAACCTGTGGTAGGCAGCCAATCCATGTGTCTCTGTGTCACTTTCACATTGATGTCTCTCTCTCTCTCTCTCTGTGTCCTTGTCTTCCCTCTAACCTCCCTGCCTTCCACTCTTTTTTTTTTAAATATATTTTTATTGATTTTTTACAGAGAGGAAGGGAGAGGGATAGAGAGTTAGAAACATCGATGAGCGAGAATCATCGATCAGCCGCAACCAAGGCATATGCCCTGAACCGGAATCGGCCCTCGAGTCCCAGGCCGATGCTCTATCCACTGAGCCAAACCGGTTAGGGCCTGCCTTCCCCTCTTGAAAACTCAACTCTATGTAAATCCACATGAGGATTTACAACCACAAAAAGGAAACAATGGGTCTACCTTGTTTTGTATCCTTATGTTTCTCTCCTTATTGTGTTTATAAAACACAAAGGGGATCATACACAAATAGATTCATGAGATTTACAGAATGACTAAACCATCTTGATTTCATAGTTGTAAAATGTGTGTCTCTGTGCCTAAATTGGTAACATTATTTCAGCTATTTTTTCTTTTTTTCTCAAGTATGTTTTTATTTCAGAGATGGAGAGGTAGAGATAGAAATATCAATGATGAGAGAGAATCGTTGATTGGCTGCCTCCTGTACACCCCACACTGGGAATTGAGCCCACAAACTGGTCGTGTGTCCAGACCGGGAATCAAACCAGTGACCTCTTGGTGCATGGGGCAGCGCTCAACCACTGAGCAACACCTGCTGGACCGGGCAGAATATTCTTGTTCTAAGATTACTCAGAGTAAATTTCCAACTAGTATTGTAGTTCCTATGTGTCCTATTCCATGAGAACTGAATTTCATTAACAAACCCTTTTAGTTCAAAGTTCTATGTGAATTTTTTCTTGTGTTTTCTTTTTCTGTGTATTCACAAGTATGGCACATGATGCGGAAACATTGGCATCACAGGTAAAAAGTGAGCTTGTGACACGTGGAAACACAGTCCCCATCTCAGAACCTGGATCAGAATCTGTGTCTTTCCAAAAGTTCATTTAGTTGTGGTCTGCTTCACACTTGAGAAGAAGTCCATATACTTCCAAGCCAGCGTGACATTTCCAGCTGAAAAGTATACACTACTGATCCTTAACGATGCAAACACAGTACTCAGAAATCCATATTGCCTGTGTCCATACCTTATTTTTTTACCTTTTTAAAATATATTTTTATTGATTTTTTTAGAATAAGGGAGAGAGAGAGAGAAAGAGAAACATCAGTGATGAGAGGGAATCATTGGTCAGCTCCCTTCAGCACATCCCATACTGGGGAAGGAGCCCGCAATCCAGGCATGTGCCCTTGGCCGGAATTGAAACCTCGACTCCTCAGTGCATAGTCGGACACTGTATCCATTGAGCCAAACTGCCTAGGGCTATGCCTTAATTTTAAAGTTTATTTTCCTGTAAAGTAAAATCTGTACCGTGGATTTGTGGACATGTGTCATCCTCATTTGTCAGTGTTCGAAATTGCATCAGAGAATGTTATAGAGCAAAGTGATATTGATGATTCAGGATACTCCCTTAGGTCCAAACCTCTTCTCCTGGCACTGTTTTCATGTTGGGTGACATTATAAACTCTTCTGGTGACCTCTTGGTAATGTGTCTTTTCTTTCAGGAACCGTTGACCTTCAGGGATGTGGCCATAGATTTCTCTCAGGAGGAGTGGGAATGCCTGGACCCATTACAGCAGAAATTGTACCTGGATGTGATGTTGGAGAATTACAGCAACCTGGCCTCCCTGGGTGAGGATGACTTCCTTCCTGAGTTCCTACTCCACCTGAAGCGTTTCGTTTCCTTTATTATTTTAACATCTCTAAGGGACTTCTTTCTGTGTTAGATTCTTGCTCTCAAGGAACAAATTGGGCCCTAGCTGGTTTGGCTGAGTGGAAAGAGCACTGGTCTGCAGACTGAAAGGTCCCAGGTTTGATTCTTGTCAAGGGCCAATGCCAGGGTTACTGGCTCACTCCCCATTAGGGGGCATGCAGGAGATGAGAGAGAAGCATTGATCAGCTGCCTCCTGCACACCCCCTACTGGGGATGAGCCTGCAACCAAGGTACATGCCCTTGACCGGGATTGAACCTGGGACCCTTCAGTCCGCAGGCTGACGCTCTATCCAGTGAGCCAAACCAGCTAGGGCTATATATATATTTTAAAAGGAACAAATTGAGGTCCTTGGAATAGAAAAGAAAGGCTTTGTGATTTATGTGAATTAGGAACTCAGTGTTTGCACACGTTACATGTCGTCTACACTAATTAATGTACTATCAGAAAATAATATTTTAGAAAATCATTTTCTAGAATATTCCAATATTCTACCATGTCTTCTGTCCAGAGGACAACCTGGATTGGAAATGGGAAAGCCTCTATCAAAATTCACACTCCATTTTCTTTTATTTTTTGATTTTTTAAGATTTTGTTGAATTCAGGGAGGAAGGGAGATTTAGAGAGAGATAGAAACTTCAGCTGGGCATTAATTGATTTTTTGTATGTGCCCCGACGATATGTGTTCTCTGCATAAATTGCCAGATATGGAATCACTATGTTTACTGGGTACCTTTTGTAAATATTGGAAAATACTCCATCATGTTTTGTTAGTGGCTGCACTAGTGTGTTTATAATCTTGCTAACAGTGCATCAATGTTCCCATTTCTCCACTTCTTTGGTAATAATTTTTATTTTTAATTTATGGATGATTGGCATCCTGTTAGGTGTTTGGTGGTATTTCATGGTGGTGTCCATTTACATTTCTCTTATGATGAATGAGTTGAACATCATTTAATATGTCTATTGGGCATATTTATGTCCTGTTTGGGAAATGTCTATTAAGGTCCTCTGCCCATTTTTCAATCATATTGTCTTCTTGGTATTAAGTTGTGTGAGTTCCTTATAAATTTTGGATCTTTAGCTTTTGAGGATGTAACGTTGCTGGACTTTTGTTGTTGTTACTCGGTGATTTCTTTGGTATGCCAAACTTATTCTCTTGTAGTCTCATTTCTTTATTTTTTAGCTTTTTTGTTATGCCTGAAAAGATACACCCAAACCAGTATTTTTCAGAGTGATGGTAAAGTTCATACTATGCTTTCTTCCAATGTTTTAAATGCTTCAGGTCTTCTATTTTAGTTGTTAATTCATGCTGAGTTCATTTTGATTCATGGCCTATGAACGGGATCTAGTTTCATTATTTTTGCATGTATCTGTTCTGTTTTTGTTGCACTACTTGGTGAAGAATCTGTCTTTACCTATTGTGTGTTCTTGCCTTCTATCTTACAGATTAGTTAACCATATAGCTTTAGACATTTTAAAATTCTTTTTTCATGTTGACTTGTAAAAGGTCTGTATATATTATAGATATTAACTGCTTATCTGATAATATGCTTTGGAGGCCTTTTTTCCCATTTTACTGCTTGTATTTTGAATGCACTGACAATTTGCTTTAATATGAAGTTATTTTTGTATGGGGTTTAATGCCTTTTGACTATTATGTTTTGTTTACCTTTCCTTTTAGTGCTATAATAAAAAATCAAATATTATACAAAGTTTTCTTTATGACCTAGCTGGATTGGCTCAGTGGATAGAGTGTCACCATGTGGACTGAAGGGTCCTGGGTTCAATTTTGATGGAGGGCATATGAGCAGGTTGCAAGCTCCATCTCCAGTAGGGGCCATGCTGGAAGCAGCCAATCAATGAATCTCTTAATGTTTCTCTCTCTCTCTCTCCTTCTCCCTTCTTCTCTGAAATCAATAAAATATATTTAAAAATAAAAACTAAAACTTTAGTATACCTCTTCTTTTAATATATTGAGTTATTATTAGCTTTATTTTTCAATCTTTTATCTATTTTGGGTTAATATTTGTATATGGTGTTTAATAACAGTCGAACTTCACTCATTCTTTTTTGTAAAATATATTTTTATTGATTTTTTACAGAGAGGAAGATAGAGGGATAGAGAGTTAGAAACATCGATCAGCTGCCTCCTGCACATCCCCTACTGGGGATGTGCCCGCAACCAAGGTACATGCCCCTGACTGGAATCAAACCTGGGACCCTTCAGTCTGCAGGTCGATGCTCTATCCATTGAGCCAGACCAGTCAGGGCTTCACTCATTGTTTTACCTGTACACATCTAAGTATCTCAACACTATTCGTATATGTGAAAATATGCTTTACTTCTTTTGTGGTATAGGCACGCTTGTAGAAGATTATTTTATCTCATGCGTGAGAAGTTGTAAGTAGGCTTTTATCCTACAGTGCTTCTTTTTCATAGTTGTTAATCCTCACATGAGCACATTTTTTCCATTGCTTTTCAGAGAGAGTGGAATGGTGGGAGGAAGGAGGGTAGAGAGAGAGGGTAACATCGATGTGAGAGAGACACTTTGACTGCCCCCTGCTGCTCACGCCTCAACCCAGGTGGGGTGGGAATTTGCAACTTAGGTATGTGCCCTTTAAGGGGAATTGAACCCGCAACCCTTAAGTGCACAGGATGATGCTCTAACCCTGAGCCACACTGGCCAGGGCCTACCATGCTCCTTTATTTACCCGTGTCTTAATGTGTAGATGATACTTTTGGATAACACCAGTTTTGAAATATTTTTTTAAATCAGAAAGTACATTGCCTTTAAGTTTATACTGTCTCTCCCATGTTTTGGTTCCTTGGTGTCCTGTGTCATTTCATACCAATTTTAGGATGAGGTTTGCTAATTTTGTGAAAAGTGTCATTGGGACGTGAATAGTGACTGCTTTGAATGTTTATGTCAACCTTGGGTACTCGTGATAGCTTATACTGTTAGCATTCCAATTTAAGGTCATTGCATGTGTAGTTCATTTATTGAGTTCTTATTTAATTACAACCAGCACTACTTTATACTTAATTTTATTGATTTTAGAGAAAGATAGCAATGGGGGGGGGTGGGAGAGAGAGAGACATACATTTATTTCCCCACTTATTTATGCATTCATTGGTTACTTCTTAATGTCCCCTGAGCACAAATCAAAGCTGCAATGATTTGGTATCAGGACCACACTGTAAACAACTGAGCTACTTGGGAAAGGCGAGAATATCCTTTTCTTATCTGGTGGTATAGGCACCGTGTTGAAGATCTTTAGTCCCTATTCAGGAGGATTTCTATGTAGGCCTTTTATTCTACCTTGCTTTATTATTTCACATAATGTCTGTATTACAGGTTTTTTATTTTTGGCTTATAATTTTTTTTTTTATTATTGATATCAGAGAGGAAGGGAGAGATAGAAACATCAATCAAGAGAGAGAATTATTGATAGGCTGCCTTCTACATGTCCCCTACTTGTAATTAAGCCCACAACCCGGGCATGTGCCCTTGACAGGAATCAAACCTGGGACCTTTTAGTTCACAGGTCGGCGCTCTATCCACTGAGCCAAACTGGCTAGTCCTGTATTATAGTTTTTGATAACAGAAGCTTTGAAGTATGTTTTAAAATCAAGAAGCCTAAAGCCTTTAATTTCATACATTCTTTTCACTATTGACTTGGTTACATTGAGCCCTGTGACATTCACATGAATTGTAGAGAGATTTTCTATTTCCACCAAAAGTGTCACTGGGACTTTGATAGGGATTGCTTTGAATGTTTAGGTCACTTTGGGTACTAATAACAGCTGATATTGTTAGCATTGCAAAGTAGGATCATGGAATGTGTTTTCCAACTTACTCTTGTTATTTGATTACAGCCATCAATGTCTGTGTATATGTTTTTTTTGTTAATCCTCACCCTATGGGTTTTTTTTCCATTGAGTTTTAGGTAGTGTGAGAGGGAGGGAGGGGTAGAAACAGAGAGAGAGAATAAAATATCGATGTGAGAGAGAGACATCGTTTGTTTGGCTTCCTCCCACATCCCAAACGGGGTTGAGATCGAATCTGCAGCCATTTGCTGGGTGGCCCCATGCTCTAACCACTGATACTGCAGAGAGCAGCCAGTAGTATTTTATACTTTACAGCATACAAGTCATGCACCTTCTTAAGAAGTAAACTGTTAATATTTTATTTTCCATTATGCTGGTAATCATGTAAATACATATTTAATTTGTTATTCTATATTAATTTCTGTTCCTCTACAGGGACACAGCTAACTTCATTGATTGGTTTTATATACCCTGTTTTGAGAAAGTAATTATATACTAGGGGCCCAGCATACGAAATTCGTGCATGGGGGGGTGGTCCCTGAGCCCGGTCTGCACCTTGCACCCTCTTCAATCCAGGATCCCTCTCACAATCTGGGACCGCTGGCTCTTTACTGCTCACCTGCCTGCCTGCCTGATTGCCCCTAACCACTCAGCCTGCCAGCCTGATGCACCTAACTGTGGCCTGCCAACCTGATAGCCCCTAACTGCCCTCCCCTGCCAGCCTGATTGCCCCTAACTGCCCCCCCTGCCAGCCTGCTAACTGCTCTCCCCTGCCAGCCTTTTCACCCCTTACCTCCTGTGCCTCAGCCCCCGCCACCGTGATTTTGTCCAGAAGGACATCCGGAAGATGTCTGGTCTAATTAGCATATTAC